CTTTGGCTTCTGAATCGATTTAAAAGATCTTAAATAAACCTCTTGGTAACATAACAGCAATGAAACATTTCCCTTTAACTGGCCTCTGAACACTGATGTGGAAATTGGGTGGCACATCAATCTTTTCTTAACTTCCAGGTGAAGGGGGTTTTTCCTCGTCTTTGTAAGACCACACAGTAACACCAAAAGCAGCCTGCCTTGAGAAGTGAGTGGTGCTGGGGAGACAAACAATGAATAATACAAGGCCACTCTAGTTTATGTCAGTGTTCTTCATACTGAAAAGAAAATAAGTGACCCAAAAGGAAGGGAGTGACAAAGAGAGGAAGGGAACATAAAGGCAAGGATATACTTAAAATTGAATTAACATGCTTCTTATACAGTGGAGAAATGACACTTTCTGGAAAAACTGCCTTGTTTCTAGTCCCATCTGCCTCAATCCTGAGCAATACTACAGCTCCCTTATGGCCCCACTAATGATTATTTTACTTACTTCTCTACTGATATACACACAACATTTTTTTAAATTATAGTTTTTCGAGTCTATCAGAGAGTATTACTGACCCAATATATTTACTGGAAGGAAGAGTAGATATAAACATAATGGAGCCAAAGTCTGTTGACAGTATCATAAAGTTGAATTTGATTAGAAAATCATGTACTTTTTTGTATTGTAAATTCAGAAATAAAGGGACCATAGTGCCAGCCATGGTGGTTCATGCCTGTAATCTCAGCATTCTGGAGGCTGAGACAGGAGGATTGCAAGTTTGAGGCAAACACTGACTACACAGTAAGCGCCAGGCCAGCCTATGTACACAGTGAAAAGCTGTCTCAAAAAAAAAAAAAAAAAAAAATCAAACAAATCAACCAAACAAACCAACAAACAAAACAAAAAGAAAAGAAAAAAGACTGTAAAATGAAAATGAAAGAAAACCTTATTAAGAATAATCAATTAGAGCCAGGTGTTAGTGGCTCCTGCCTGTAATCCTAGCTGCTCAGGAGGCAAAGATCAGGAGGATCTCAGTTCAAAGCTAGCCCCAAGCAAATAGTTCTGGAGACCTTATGGGGGGTGGGGGGGTGGAAGACTGTTACAAAAAAGACTGGCAGGGAGGGCTGGTGGAGTGGGTCAAGCAGCAGTGCACCTGTCTAGCAAGTAAGAGGCCCTGAGTTCAAACCCCATTGCCTCTAATAAAAACAGAGTAGTCGACTACAGAGATAGCCAATTTCCTTTTTTTCCATAGGCTAAAACACCTGCCCCAAGTATAATCAAGATAGGGCTAAGAACTAAGGACTAGTCAATGCCTCACATGAATGGCACTGACCCAGCTCCCACCAAAGTAGAGCCCTTGGGCTATTTACTATTTGGGGATCATCCTGCTGGAGAGAGACTAAAAATCTGTCCATTCCAGCTTCAATTTTAAGGTTTATCAGTAACAAACTTCAGCAAAATAAATACGATTAACTTACTTCTTTTCTGTAACTGCAAGTAAGTCTTTAAATAAGAAAGTCTAATAAAAGGCTATTTAACCAGAAAAATATGACCTGATGAAGATATATACCTAAATATGTAAATATCAACTGTCTAAAGAAGATGGACCATAGCTTGGACTATTATGGTTTTTGCTTATGGTATAATTTCATTAGAAAAGATAAAAGACAAAAGAGAATCTTCTGGTGGTTTGCTGCCAAGGAAATGAATTCTTTCCTTCACAATATACTTATTCTTGGCAGGAATGTTATGAGAATTAACAAGGGAACATGTGGCAAACATTCTGAGCTCTTTGAAGAAATGGAAACTCTCTCTAGTAATCTGAAGGTGTGATATGTTTTAACTCTCACTTTCTAACCAAAAGCAACCTGGAATTTGACAGCATTTTTCAGCTCTTCGCTGGTTGAAGACATCTCAGAGCTCTGCAAAGAGAACAGGGATAGGGTGGCATGGGGACAACTACACATTCCTTCACTTAATTTTTCTCTGCTTAAATACCAAAATGCTCACAATGCTGCTTATTTTATCTATCTAAAATTACACTGAGTTTAACTGTTAATAGTTCTGTATGGATAAAAGCCAGCACCTAAAGTTTTCCCACCCAGCTCACAAGTACAAACTGATCTTTCATTGCCACTACAGCTACTTTTTGCAATCTGTGTCTTAAGAGTCACAGTTACTACAAAGCAGTAGCTTAGAGCTAACCCTTGCCTCCCCACACACATACTCTCACTCACTTTGACTACCTGCAGACCAAGCCTCTACCCTGCTGCCATGACAATATCCTCTAACTGATCAAAGAGTCATGTGAAATATAAATGGAGATCAATTAACCACTCAGCCCTTTACTTCCTAAATCACATAATAATGGGCTTAATGCTAATAATCTTCACATCTAATTCTCAAAGTACTAAAAAAATGGTTTATTAAAGAAGAGATGACTAACCTTTTTTCACTGCATACTATCTAAAATATTGAACCATGTGCTTTTAATATGTATGTATTTGTATATTTGTCATTTATGAACTAAATGGATGAATACCAATTATTTAGTCTACTATGTGGGTTTATGTATACTATTTCTCTTCTTATATCAAACCCATGAACAAATTTTGAGATGTCGATTTACTTAAAAGTAACAATTTGAAAGTGGTCAAAGTTGGGATGTGAAACCAGATCTGATTCTAGAACTTGCATTTTAAAACTACTTTACTATGCGTTATATTTCCAAATCTGTGTTTTGTTTTTTCCAGATTTCACTCAATGTTATGCTTTTCAATCGTCTGTTAAAGAAAAAAATAATTACTATACAATAAAATGTAAAAAGCAGTGTAATGTGATGCAATAGAAGACAATGCAGGCTTTCATATCTGAAAGATCTATGTTCAAGCCCTGGTTCCATTACTCATAATAATTATTACTATTACTACATAATTACTATTATATTATAATTATCATGGTACTGGAGCTTGAACTCAGGACCTCACGCTTGGTAGGCAGGTACTCCAGCACCTGAGTTATGTCCCCAGTCCTTTTTGCTTCAGTCATTTTTCTAATAGGGTCTTGTAGTAATACTCCTTCCTATTTATGCCTTCCTCATAACTGGGATGACAATGCATGTCATGCCCAGCACTGCTGACTGAGATGGGGGTATCACCAACTTTTTGCCCAGGCTGGCCTCAAACCATGATCCTCCGGATTCCTGCTCCTGAGTAGCTGAGATTACAGGCATAAACCAGTACACCTAGCTACATATATTACCTCAGGAAATACACTTAACTTTCTGAGTGCCTCTTTTTAAATCTGTGAAAGAAATAATGTTAACTATCTTGCAGACCTGCTCTAAAGATTGAGCATGCATTTAAAGTATGGATAGTACCTGAAATATAATAAGCATGCAATAAATGTTATTATATTTTTAGAGTCAAAAAACAGTGTTAGAGCAGACAAGATGAAACTAAAATCATGATAGTCAGGGGGAGTTCCTGCTGGTTTTAGTATCTAACCCCAGCACACGAGTATCTTTCCCCAATCTCTCAGGATGGCTCAATGTACTCAAGACTCACTGCTCCTTCACTGCCACGGGAACATACTGCTAGTGATGAACACAATGTCTGTCCTCAGAGATGAAAATCAAATGTGTGGGAGGAAGTATGCATATCTGAAATGATGAGAGGCATGGAGCTTCTCTCAGTCACACATTTCTAGGTCTTCATTTGAGTGAATACTAGAAAAAGACTGAGAGTATCTGGCTTGGAAGGGAAATTAATGCAGTGTCCAGGTCATCTGCTAAAAGCCTGAAGGAGACTGAGGTTTCTGGAAGGGAAAAGGACTGAAGTACAATGTGCACATGAAGCGCTGAGCCTGTAATCAAATGATTCTGAGTTTTCAAGCTTCTAGTTGGAGTGGATACAGTTGGCTCTCCCAATTTCCCACTAGCTAATCAGGACAATCTGTTTCACTCTAGGGCACAGTTCTCGTCTACCTAAGGAAGGTATAGAAACCCACTCTAGTGGAACTTGCTGACTGTGCACAGGAGCAATGAGAGCATGCTGAGATTATCTCACACACTTCTGCCTCAAAGCTGGTCATTTGGAAAAGAAGAGTAAAATTCAGTTCTTTAAAGTTCAATGCCTGGATGTTACTCTAAACCTCCAAAGACAGGTCTGTGAGGTTTAACATCAAAATATCGAGTATTCAAAGAAGTTAAGGTCTTACTGTAAGTTGTACATGGAAATTGTTTGTGCTATTTCTGTTGGGGAGTTACAAAGACCTTTTAAGTTATGAAAAATATTCTGACTGTGACCTTTAGAAAAACAATTATTTTTGCTTCCAAATACAATCCTTGAGATATTTTAAGTAGCAGGCAGTATTATTAGAAAAGGCAAATATTGTCTAAAATAAATTAGGCTGTAGGTTAAGGGAGCAGTGAGTATTAGGACTGCTCTTTAGAGACCCACAAGATTCATGACTTCATGTTTAATAAAAATGTCACAAATGCACAAAGATGTTTTTGGGACTCCATGCATCTGAAAACAACGCTTTTGGTACATCCCATGGCTTTAAGATAAACAAGAAAAAATAATTTCCCCAAACTAAGACAGTAGGATAGTCAAGTTACAACACCCATTTGTTTTTTTAAATACTAAAGCTTCTTTCGCCATCAACTATTATTTAAAGAACATTTTTCAGAAGATCTAAGACTTTCACAAAGTAGTCACATGCTACAAAGTGGGCAATCCCATCTGCATTTTACGTATGTTTTATGTATTGTAGCGTTCTTCAGATACTAGGAAGTTGGTAAATTCTCATGTCCACTTTCTTGGATCTAGCTGTCAGCACAACACAGTCAATCTTACCCCGAACAACATCTTTCTGACCTCTGTTCACACTCTATTCCCAATACCAAGCACAAAATATACCACTTTCTGGTAAGCACACCAAGTTAGAAGCAGTAGCTATTTTCTGACAAGAATTCAGGTAAGGAGGAGTCACAGAAGAATGATATACATACCTGTACCACAGGATCTTTTGGTTGGTGTGATTAAGGAGACATGAGCTGTGTCTGTGCATGGCCCACCTAGAAACAGAAAAGCAGGCACATCAATCAGATATCCCCCACATACCCACAGTGGCTATCAGGAATAAAGAGAAACCTAAAGGGAAAAGGATCAACCTACAAACATGCATGAGGAGGGGAAGTAGGAAAGATGGTGGTGAAGAGTTAATTCTAAGGGCCTAATTCAGCAATGTAACCTATGGATAGCCATAGCCTTTCTAAAGTCTCATGTAGTGTTAGGGAAGTCAAAGGAAACTGGGAGTGGTGGTGCATGCTTACAATCCCAGCTACTCAGGAGGCAAAGGCAGGAAGAGCATGAATTCAAGGCTAATTCAGGCAAAGTTAGTGAGACCCTATCTCAAAAACAAAATAAAAATAAAAGAGTTGGGGGCATAGTTCAAGTGGTGGAGTGCTTGCCTGGCAAGTGGATTCAACCCCCAGTCACATACAGACACACACAAAGTTAAAAGATCGGGCTGGGGATGTAGCTCAGTGGTAGAAAATGTTGGCCTGGCATGCGCTAGGCCCTGAGCTCAATCTCCAGCATTCCAAATAAAATGAGAACTAGGGTCTTATGCTTGCTAGGCAAGTGCTCCCTCACTTGAGCCATGCCTCCAGCACAAAATGAAAAATTAAAAAAGATTCATCTTTAATTAAAAGCCAGATACAGGTGAAAAGAAAGATGAGATGAATTCTTCCAAAGAGGTAAGCAAAAATACTCCATCTTGTGAGCTCAATGGTCACTCTATCTTTGAATTTATTGGAAAACTAGCCTGATTCAAAATGGGAGACTCCCTAGGGAACAAGAAACTGCTTGTCAGAAGAAATAAGAATCATTTTAATAACGTAAGGAAAGTATTGTTGACCCAAGAAGAATATCTAGTCTCATAATAAGAAGTATGACATGAAAAGGGCTTTCATGGAATCTTAGTGGGCACAGGGATCTGAAGCACAGGCATAATTCAAGAATATGCAAAAGATTTAATTAGTTAAGAGGTGAAGAATTGAAAAGCAGTGATTTCATCCCACAGAATTAGGAATCAGGACCATCCATACATTCTGAAGTTGATATTGACATATACCCAGTCTACTCCCCCATCCCCCAATTGACTGTGTTCTAGCTTCTGAAATAGGAAGTACAACTATGAAGGTCAGTGGTTCTTGACTTGCCCTGGGAGAGGCAGTGCTGACGATCACGAAGGAAAAGAACAGAAAGGCAAATACATTTGTTTTGAAAAGGCTCCCCATGTAACTCTGCCCAGCTGAGAGGGAACAGAGTTACTTGGCATAGCTGTATGTCATCTATGGCTAGGCTTTATATTATTGAATTACCAACTGAAAAGGAAGGAAAGATGAAAACACTCTGAGACCTGTTCCTAGAGATCCATGGGCTTAGGGACTTGGAGATCCCACCTAGAAGTTCACCATTAGCCCACTCTTTCCTATGTCAAGGCAATAATGACAGTAAATCTTATGACACAGAGAGGAAATTTTTAAAGGGAGGAAAAACTGAGTAAGTTAATTTCAAAAAATATTTAGTCAAAGTTACTATGTACCACCACAGGTTAGTCCCGTAGTCAGGGAACTTTTAGTTATATTTGAAAGACAAAATTTATGTACATAAGTAAAGAAGATATATGAGAGCAATAAATGGCTGGATGAAAAATGATCAAGTGTCAAAGAATAGAGAATAGGTAAATGTTCTATATAAATAGGAGGAAGGATGTTCATCACTGGCCAACATTACCTGAAAATACAATAATCTGAAAATGAAACCCTGATAAACTGGAAAGTTTAGAAAGACCAGAAAGAGCAGGATAATTCAGCTGCTTCTGTTGTTTGCTTGCATGCTTACTTGTTTTATTATTATTATTATTATTTTTACAAATGTCACATTCACCAGAGAAAGCTTAAATATACTAAAATTCCAGAGATTCAAATGGGCAACTCTAACATGAAAACCGACAACATGAAGAGACATTACCACATGTAAGCCTAACCCAGTCCCCACATCCTTAAGAACCCTCCAGGCATAAAATGCTTTTCTTCGTCTGTAAGGTTTTTTTGTTTTTAAATGAAGCATTTTTATTTTTGGAACATTACAGGTTTTTAGAAAAGACAAAGTTTAAGTCCAGTAACACCCTACCTACTGAGTTTTCCTGGATAAGTGAGCTTCAGTTTCTTAAACAGCAACAAAAAAATAGGAACAGTAAAATTGCTAACAGGGCAGAGGGTTCATGGATCATCTATGCAAAAAGTTTCATAAAGTATAAGGCTTTATATAGTGCACCATTACTTTCTCTTCCACTGCTTTTTATGCTCTCAAGAATCAGGACTCACATTGCTATCTGTTCTTTGGTCATGACTACCTGCACAATGAGTGTTTAGCAATGGTCATTAAGTGACAATGTAAACTATGTAATTCAATCAGGACAGCAAAGCACATTTTTAAAAGAACTTTTAAAGGAGGAATTAACAAATGGCCAAGAGAGAAAGAAATACAGGCTGAGATCCTTTATCCAAAATGCTTAGGACCAAAACTATTTGGAATTTCTGAGGGCTTTATCATTTTGGAATATTTTCATATGCATAATGTGGTATCTTTGGAGTGGGGCCAAGATTAAACAAGAAATCCATGTACATTTTACACAGGCCTCATGCACATACCTTCCATGCAATTTCATACAGTATGTTTTCAGGGTTCCTGTGTTTTGACTGTGACCCATCATGTGCCATCATGTGTGGAATTTTCCACTTGTGGCATCATGCTGGGGGCTCAAAATATTTTTCAAGTTGGAGCATTTTAATTTTCAGATTGGGGATGATCAATCTGCACTAGAACAAACTGCATAAATCTTAAATGGACACTATGTAATACATATGTACCTATGCAATAATCATCATATCAAAATATTAGAACATTTCCTACACACAGAAAGTTCTGAGATCATTTTTAAAATACAGATTTCTGGAAATTTCGATGCTATAGGTAATGACGGACATAGGAGGAGATTAAATCAGCTGAACACACTGAATATTTATAGTCCACTTAGTTACAGTGAGCTTTAGAGAGCACAAAAGTCAATGACAGTGTAACTACCAGGTACTTTGTTAAAAGGACATAAAATATTTCATACAGTAAAAATATGAGAAAGGAGAAATCATCAAGTCAAACCCCTTGAGAAATATGACTGAGACTCAGGAATTAATTTCACATTTACAAATGCCCTAGATAATTATCAAATAAGGGAATCTTTACCTCATCTGAAGGCTGAGAGTTTACTCTTTAAAAAAATTCTAATGGATGAATTTCCATAGGTTTTAGCAAATACGCAAATAACTTTTCAGCTATTGAGCATATCTCAACATGCATCATCATGAAAGTGTTCTCCAGAGAGCTTGTTAAACTAACAACCCAATCCAATGTATTCACTACATTCAGTAAAGTACAAATAGAACTGTAGTTGAGCCAAGACAAATGGACAACAAGGGTAACTGGCGGTGATAATATATTGCAGCTTTGGTAATTGGACAATATTATAAACAGAGATCTTGGAATTAAGTTTGGTCTAGCAGACTATAACTTATGAAACACTTTGAACACAGAAGAGGAGGACAGGATACCGTGGGCACAGCCTGAACGGATTGAGGTGTCACCCCAAACTCCTCTAGCTCTCAAACAAAAGGAACAGCCACCAGAGGTGGCGAATCTTTTCAGGTTTCTGTCAATCATATATATATGTATATATGACAAAGTGAGGGCATCTGCTCCATCAAAAACAGGCTTGGCATTTCCTTTCTGGACTTTCTAAGGCCTGAGAAAGAGGCTGGCATATGTCCCCATAATTCACTGTAAATTTTCCTCCCATTTTTGACCACTGTTCTTTCCAAGCAGCAGGGCAGAACAGAGCAAATAATAAAGAGCTAGGTGAGGAAGCAATTCATGATTGTAGGTTGGGAGGGAGGAGTAAAAGAGATAGTGTATATTCAATGTGACTGAGCTTGGAGAAATAAATATATTTCTAAACACAGAACAATTCAAGCCATTATATTTGCCATGCAAAGAGGCTTAGACAAACTGAGATGCCAAAAAAAGGCATTTACCTGAGGGCTTAGAATTACAAGTTTAGTAGAGATTGTAGAAGTGACCAGAATGTGTCTCATTAGTTTAGAGGGTCCTTTTTAAGGTAAAAAGAGGATGTTCATTGGTCAAGCACAGACTATATCATTGTTCTAGAAAAGACTTTCATTTATACAATTCTGAGAACATTTCCCCTCAGTAAGTAGCCTTCTTTGGTATGTCACCAAATTCGGCATAGCACAAAATGAACTCCTGGCCACAAAACTTTCTTTTGGATCTTTACTAGTGGCAACTGAGTTTAGAAAAACAAAATCAGTTCTCTGTTTTAAAATGTTAACAATCATTAAGGGAGGATTCCAAGATGGCGGCTAGAGGGAGGAAGCAGAAAGCGAGCCTCCTATAGTGAAATCTTGGAGAGATGATGGAGACTCACTTTGCAGGCATAATCACTGAGAAGAGGCATAACTTTGAACCCTCCACATCTCCAGCCGGTGCAGAGAATCTCCACTTCACGTTAAACGGAGAACCGAGGAGGCCCCGGGCCGCCAGTGGCCGGCGCCCATACGGCTTGGGAAGACGCGGACCAGGTGAGCTTCGCGGTACCGCGGTTCCCCCACAGACAAGCCTGGGCCAGAGCAGCATAGCCCCCTGGACAGACTGACCCCCACCCGGGAAAAAAAGAGAAACTGAGTACTAAGCAATAAGAACAGTTAAGACGCTGGAAAGAGGGTGGGGCGCTCTGAGCGCTGAAGATTGGGGGAAGGGAATCCTTCCCTGGACTGTAAATAAACGAGCCGGGCGGGCCGGAGAGGCTCTGGCGGGAGCGGGGCGCGCCCAGCAACCAGGAGCGGGGACGCTTGTGAGAGGAGGGAAGACCCACTTCCCAGGTGAACTGTAAATAAACACGCAGGCCTGACAACGCGGGGCAGTGGCACCTTTCCCAGTGCTTGGAAAGGGAAAAGCCTGTGGCAGAGGCTCCCGCACAGGAGAACTCTGAGCAAACAAAGCCTGTGGGACCAGGTGAGTGCTAAGCTCACCCCAGAGATCTGCATAAATAACGCCGCCAGCTACAGGCTGAGAGCAGCAGGCAGGCAAGCCACAGCTGCAGATACCACTCTCAGAACTGCCTCCAGACGCTTTTTTTTCTTTTTCTCCCTACCTTTGATGAGAGAACAACCGAATTACACCTGCAAGCCGAAAAACTTACTGAAACTGTATTGCATTTGAACTGGGGACACTTGGTGGGGCTGTGTGTGTGTGTGTGTGTGTGTGTGTGTAGTTTTGTTCTACTTTATGCATCCCCTTTGATGAGACAACTACAGAAAAATCTGAGGCACCATCTACAGGATTGGAGACTGAGACGGACACCCAAATTATTAAGACTGAAACTTCATTGCATTTGAACTTGGAGGTTTTTTGGGTTTTTTTTTAATTTTCTATTTTTCACCTTATTTTAATTCATTTTATACATAGATATTTCTTTCATTTACTTATTTTTTATTTTTATTATCTTTTTTGTTTTATTTTTGATTTTCAATCCTCTGTCTCTCTAACGTCTGTTCAGCTGTAAATTAGTACACCAACGCTCCCTGTTTGAAACTTTCTTGTCTGATACCTTGTTCTGTTTTCTCCTTCTTGTCTGTATATTTGTTTTACCCCTTTCTTTAACAACTTGCTTTCGATCTCAGCTCACCCTTCCATTCTAAATATTACCATTGTTATTATTACAAGCTAGAAAATACTTACTTGCACACAGTACAGGGACAGTAACAACACCAAAGACAATGATGGGAAGACAAAAAAACAGGGAAACCAGTTTCCCCACAGCAAAAAATTAGTACAGGAACCAGAGGGGAATGAAGAAAACAGATACTCAGATCCAGACCCCAACAAAATGAAGATAAACTATGCCAAAGGACCCAATGAAGCCCACAAGAATAATTTAAAAGAAGACATACTACAGGTACTCAATGAGAATTTTGTAGAGATGATACTGGATAGGGTCAACCAAAATGTACAGGAGACACTCAAGAAATTCCAAGACAACAAAAATAGAGAATTTGAAAAAGCAAAAGAAGAAATAAAGGATACCATAGAAGCACTGTATAAACACCAAAGTGAAACAGAGAACACGATGAATAAATGGATAAATGAACTCAGGACAAAAATAGACAACATTAAAGAGGAAACCACTCACGATACAGAAAACCTCAGAAAAAAGAAACAGAACTGCAAAACAAAACGGAAGGCCAATCTAGCAGAACAGAACAGAAGACAGAATCTCAGAACTTGAAGATGAAATGGTAATTAAAGGAAAAACCAAAGAACTATTAATTAAACAACTCAAGACCTGTGAAGAGAACACCCACAGAGTGGGAGAAAATATTTGCCAACTATACATCAGACAAAGGACTGATAACCAGAATGTACAGGGAACTTAAAAAATTAAATTCTCCCAAAACTAATGAACCAATAAAGAAATGGGCATGTGAACTAAACAGAACTTTCTCAAAAGAAGAAATTCAAATGGCCAAAAAACACATGAAAAAATGCTCCCCATCTCTAGCAATAAAGGAAATGCAAATTAAAACCACACTAAGATTCCACCTCACCCCTGTTAGAATAGCCATCATTAGCAACACCACCACCAACAGGTGTTGGCGAGGAACCCTCTTACACTGTTGGTGGGAATGTAAACTAGTACAACCACTCTGGAAAAAAATTTGGAGGCTACTTAAAAAGCTAGACATTGATCTACCATTTGATCCAGCAATACCACTCTTGGGGATATACCCAAAAGACTGTGACACAGGTTACGCCAGAGGCACCTAATGTGGTATCTATACACAATGGAATTTTATGCAGCCATGAAGAAGAACGAAATGCTATCATTTGCTGGTAAATGGATGGAATTGGAGAATATCATTCTGAGTGAGGTTAGCCTGGCCCAAAAGACCAAAAATCGTATGTTCTCCCTCATATGTGAACATTGGATCAAGGGCAAACACAACAATGGGATTGGACTTTGAGCACATGATAAAAGCGAGAGCACACAAGGGAGGGGTGAGGATAGGTAAGACACCTAAAAAATTAGCTAGTATTTGTTGCCCTTAACGCAGAGAAACTAAAGCAGATACCTTAAAAGCAACTGAAGCCAATAGGAAAAGGGGACCAGGAACTAGAGAAAAGATGAGATTAAAAAAAATTAACCTAGAAGGTAACACACACGCACAGGAAATTAATGTGAGTCAACTCCCTGTATAGCTATCCCTATCTCAACCAGCAAAACCCCTTGTTCCTTCTATTATGGCTTATACTCTCTCTACAACAAAATTAGAAATAAGGGCAAAATAGTTTCTGCTGGGTATTGAGGGGATGGGTGGTAAGGGAGGGGGTGGGGGCAGGGGAGAGAAATGACCCAAGCCTTGTATGCACATATGAATAATAAAATTAAAAAAAAACCAATCATTAAGTTCCTTGTTACTATTACAGACTTTTTGGGAACTCTAAAGGAGATGATATTAAAGAAAAGCCAATCTAGGCTGGACATATTGGAGCATGCTTACAATCCCAGCACTCAGGAAAGAGGTATGTAAGTTTAAGGCCAGCGTGAGTTATACAGTGAGTATTCCGTCTCAGAAAAACATCTGAACTA